GCCAGCAAGTCAGTGATGCAAAGACAGATAATAATGCTCTCATCAGATTTCAGACTTTATTAAAGCTCTACAGCTTTTTCAGCAGCTTGGAATAGTCTTTGGACCTGAATTGCATAAATTACTTTGACTTTGACTCATCAACTGCAGGCATCTTGTAGGTTTTTACAATGATTATGGTCAATCAGACTTCATTTAGTATTTTCACTGGTTATGTCCAATGGATCAGTGTAAAATGGTAGCCACTTCTGTTACATCAAAAACCAGCCTAAGCTAAAGGAATTATTGAGATCATGCATACTGAAAAAAAAGAAACTATTGGTCATTACATCTAAACATTTATCCTGTTCAGGGTCACAGGGGGGCCTGGAACTTATCCTAGGCAGCAGTGGCATGGGGCTGGGGGACATATATAGATTAAGAGCCTTATAATATATTGGAAATTTAGAGATACCGATTAGCCTAAAGGAATATTTTGGACTTTGGGAGGAAACTACACAACACAGGGAAAAAATGCAAACTCTATGCAACATTTGCTAGGTAGCATATGGCACAAGGCTGGGTGCATCCTAGATCGGACACCAGTCCCTCACAGGGAACATTCATGCACAAGCTCATAATCTTTAGGTAATTTACAGACACCAGTTACCCTGAGGGCTTGTTTTGGACTGTGGGAGGAAACCACACAACACAGGGAGAAAATGCAAACTCCACACACAGAAAGCAGATAACAGAGATTCTAATCCCAAACCGTGGAGGTGTGAGGTGAAAGTGCGACCCCCCCCCCCCGAACCTCTATGCCACCCTTAGTTATTTCAGTGCAGCAATTTTGCTGTTGAACCTTTTCCACAAAATCCTTCGAAGCTGCTTCAGTTTCAGTCCATAAATGACAGGGTTCAGAATAGGAGGAACAATGAGGTACATTATAGAAAGGCTGTTTCTGAGAGGCTGCAGAGAGGTGTCTGAGCTTAAACGTGCTGATATAAAATCAATAGAAGCAGAAGCAACCAAGATACCCAGTGTGATGAGATGAGGCAGACAGGTCTCCATGAACTTATTACGCTCTGCCTGAGACCGTACACATGTCCGTATGATGAGGACATAAGAAATCATGATTATCAGGACTTGAAATATATGAAAAACCATGATAACAAAGGCAAATACATTGTTTAAGGTGTTATCAATACAGGACAGCTTCACCACATCCCAGTCAAAACAATAAAGCTTATTAATTCTGGATCCACACAAGGGCAGCCTGACTATAAGCACAATGCCAACAATTGTCTCAATGAAAGTTATGAACCACGTTATTTGCAGCAACGTTCCTACTCTCCGAGGCGTCATAAGAGAGTGA